TCTACTTTGTGATTAAAAAAATCATCTATTTCTATAACTTCTATACTCATATAAGTTAAGACCTCTATAAAATGACAAGTACATCACCTGATTTATGTAAAACTACGTATGAACATTTTCTAGTTAAATAAGACCTCAGTAACGTGTAACAAATGTAACTATGGATATTAGAAACTGTTACAATCCAAAACTCCTATTTCTCGACAAGATATTAGTTATGTAAAAATAGTTGAGGAATATCTTTCAAGAAATCTTATTGGAGGATTACATCTAACAGAAAATGATTATATTTGCTGGGAAGCAATAACCGAACTAATTGGTTTGGTCAGGAATTAAAGTAGTCAACCTATATTTGAGTGCGACTCTTTGTGGCCTTATGGAAAAAAATATTGTAAATCGTTTTATTTTTATTTTTTAAAAATACAGATAATGAGATTGTGTGGTCATTTATATGAGCAGTAATCTAAAATTCGAATAAATAAATGTCCATGTTAGTTAGTAATATATACTTCTTTAGAATGATTTGTTTTTTGGGCTAAGTTTTGTATTTCGAAATTTCAATATACAGTATCAGTGAAATTGTAGTTCAACCCATTTGCATATATGGGCCAACAAGTGAACCATTTAATGATATTAAAAGGGATCAATTGGAAAATGTACACCGAGCGGTTTGTATACAACTAGACCGAGGCTAACCGATGTCTTAAACCACAAAAGAGAAGAAAAAGAAATCTTGGTTTACAAATGTACTTAGACGCAAATCATACCAAATACGGAAATACCTTTAGATCATTTCATTTTCTTCCCCCTTGCTTTGTTTGACCCAAAAATACAACAGCATTGCTTTCGAGGAGACACAGAAAAATCATATCCTACTTTTTCTAAAGAAAAGTCAAGTTCAAATTATTGTACTCAATATTGAACTTAAATTCATAGATCTATACTATCTGTATGAGCTTAATAGCATCTACAGTTTTATTTCCAACTTGTTAATTGTTTCCTCTTTAGTCTCTCTAAGTCATAGGCTCATAGGTCACAGCTAATGCGTGCATTCAAATAGGTTTCTGGATTTTTCCGTTATTTGTCCAACGAAGAAATTTTTTTCCCCTTCGTCCCCTTTTTGTTCAACACATGTGCAAACATTTCCACTTTATGAAGAATGCCAAAATTTTCTGTCATTTTTCGACATTCCTCTCAATTCATTTTTACTATGAATGTTTACTACTCAGTCACAGCTAATAGTGTGGATTCAATTTTCTCTTAAGTATAACATTAAATTCATTTTGGATTATATCTGGAACACCGTTTTGTAATTTATTAGTTCTGTAATTATGAGACTAATACTTCTTTTGTGTGGAATATTTGTTTAGCCTCTTGTGGTTTATATTATTCCGGGTGAACACCTCTTGTTAGATGGTGCTTAAAATTATAATTTTATCGAAATCTTGACTAGTACTTAGCTGATAAGAATATTATAATAAAAAATTTATCCTAATTTTTTTGTTTGCTACTTTTGAGTTCTTGATGAGTTTTTTTTTTTTTTTAAGTCAAAGATGTATTTGCATCATATTCTATGAATCTGGACACAAATGATCCGTAACTGGTATGATTTTAATAGTAATTTTTTGTTTTGTTTAAAGATCTATTTCCATAAAACTTTTTTTCTAAAAATATCAAAATATAACTAATTTATCTGATTCTTTTTTAGTTATAATTTGATATTTGAAATTACATTATAAACCTAGATAAGCATGCTCTTGTTGTGTTAAAATAAATAAGATTTAATACGTTATCGAAACTCGAAAGTTATTCAAATACACGCCCATTAGCCAAAAGATGGGATCATAAGTGTAGTCAAATTTTTTTTTAGCAAAAAGGAAAAGAACGTCTAGGCGAATTTGCAGGAAAATAGTAAGTACAGGGACGTAAGTAGTAAAAAGACGAAACCTGATTCTCTTGGCTATTCAGAGTGTTATAAATACCACACGGCGCAAAACAAACGCTCAAGCCCCAAAAGTATCTTCACCAAACTGTTCCACCACCGCGTAACCGAAATACCGGCGAAGCCAGCCGCCGTCGCCGGAAATATCTCAACCGCCATTTCCTCTGTTTAATAAAAACAAAAAAAGCTACGGGATAAGCACGTACGAATCTCTCCAACGATAATTAGTTTTTCTCCGTTCTGATTTGTCTTTTTTTTTTTTTTTTGGATTCCCAGTAGCTTTGATCGGGATTTAATTCGTAAATCTGATTTTCGATCTGAGTTTATATAAAACAATTTTCGTCTGAAAACGAGCGATGCATCAATCAGTACGGTAATGTATTAACATGCGTAGGAGTTGTCTTTACTCGAATTATTATTATTTTTTTTGGTTTTTCAAAACAAAATTGACATGGACGAAATGTTCAGATCCACAGATTTCTCGACGAAATTCTGTATGTTTAATTTCGATATACGTTGGTGTGTGTAAAGGAAATATACTTAGGCTCTATCCAATGGTGTGTATTTGTCTAATCTGTCTATGTAAAACAGAGAATTTGTCGTAGAAGATGCTAGGTTGTGTGTTGCTTAGCAGCAGAGTTTTACTTGGCAAAGAAGTCATCTCTTGTCCCTTTCCTCAGGCTGCAAACTGGAGAGGACATGGATATGTTTACACAAGATGGAACTCTTGACATTCACAAGAAACCAGCAAACAAGGAGAAAACAGGAACCTGGAAAGCTTGCAGATTCATTCTTGGTGTGGTTGTAAACCTTGAAACTACTTTTTTGCTTTCTGAGATTTATATTTGATTATTATATTTGTATCATAAAAATTGGCAGGAACCGAGTGTTGTGAAAGATTGGCTTACTATGGAATGAGTATAAATCTGGTCAACTATGTGGAGAAACATCTGAGTATGGGAAACGTTGCTGCTTCCAACAGTGTCACAAACTGGTCCGGAACATGTTACGCCACTCCTTTGATCGGTGCTTTTCTCGCCGATGCTTATCTCGGTCGATACTTCACCATCGCTTCCTTCGTCATCGTCTACATTTGCGTAAGACATATATCAAATCCATATCTCTTGTTTCCTCATCAAAGTGTAAAAAATGAAATCTTGAAAATGTGTGTTGCTCTTGTGTGACTAGGGAATGACACTATTGACGTTATCAGCTTCGGTTCCTGGTCTAACACCAACCTGCAACGGAGAAGATTGCCACGCAACCGGGGGGCAAACAGCGATCACATTCGTAGCGCTCTACTTGATCGCACTCGGGACAGGAGGAATCAAGCCTTGCGTTTCTTCGTTTGGCGCTGATCAGTTTGATGACACAGACGAAGTAGAGAGAGAGTCAAAAAGCTCATTCTTCAATTGGTTCTACTTTGTGATCAACGTTGGTGCAATGATTGCTTCCTCTGTTCTCGTTTGGATTCAGATGAATATTGGTTGGGGTTGGGGTTTCGGAATTCCCACCGTGGCCATGGCCTTGGCCGTGCTCTTATTCTTCGCCGGAAGCAAGTTCTACAGGCTTCAGAAACCAGGAGGGAGTCCCATCACAAGAATGCTTCAAGTCATTGTTGCTTCTTTCAGAAAATCCAAAGTAAAACTCCCTGAAGATGAATCTCTTCTCTACGAGATACAAGACGCCGAAAGCAATATCCAAGGAAGCCGCAAGCTCGAACACACCACTAAACTAACGTAAGTCGAGCTAAGCTAAGAGAGAGAGTGTGACAAAGTTGGTTTAACCTTTTTCTGATTATTGAGTTTTAAACTATTACAGGTTCTTCGACAAAGCAGCAGTGGAGACAGAGAGTGACAAAAAAGACGCAGCAAAGTCAGCATGGAAACTATGTACAGTGACACAAGTAGAAGAGCTCAAAGCATTGATCGGTCTGTTACCGGTTTGGGCCTCAGGGATCGTCTTCGCTGCGGTTTATAGCCAAATGAGCACAATGTTCGTGCTACAAGGCAACACAATGGACAAACGCATGGGACCTCACTTCACAATCCCTTCCGCATCACTCTCCTTATTCGACATCCTCAGTGTGCTCTTCTGGACACCTGTCTATGACCAGCTTATCGTTCCGCTCGCCAGAAAAGTCACGGGCCATGACCGTGGCTTCACGCAGCTTCAACGGATCGGAATCGGACTTGTAATCTCTGTCTTCTCTATGATATCAGCGGGAGTCCTCGAGGTCCAAAGGTTAAGCTACATCCGAACACACAGTCTCTACGACGAGGAAACAGTTCCGATATCGATTTTCTGGCAAGTTCCGCAGTATTTTTTCGTAGGTTGCGCAGAGGTTTTCACTTTTATTGGTCAGCTTGAGTTCTTCTACGATCAAGCTCCTGATGCTATGAGGAGTCTTTGTTCGGCTTTATCGCTCACCACCGTCGCATTAGGGAACTACTTAAGCACGTTGCTCGTGACGGTGGTCACGAAAATCACGACCTCCGGTGGGAGACCAGGCTGGATCGCGGATAACCTGAACAGAGGCCATCTTGATTACTTCTATTGGTTATTGGCTGTTTTGAGTTTCTTGAATTTCTTCGTCTACCTTTGGATTGCTAAAAGGTACACTTACAAGAAAGCGACGGGGCATGCACTCTGAGAGAATACAGGAATCGTCACGGAAGTCTGTTTGATAATCTTTCGCTTTTAATGTTTTTCTTTTAGAGTATCATGTTACGTTATTCACCCAATATCAAGCCGGTAGCAAGAAGAGATACAAGAACATAAATTACACTGTACTAAGATTAGTAGAATGTCTTGTTCCAGTCGCAGACTTGGTTTTCTTCTCTGATTGCAACTTGAACAATATACCATTTGCCTTTTGCTTTACTTCCTAGTGATGAGTCTCCGATCAAGTGAAATCAAACGTTTTGAGGTTCAGATGCAAGCTTTCAAGGAACCTGTGGGATTTAACAGATTTCAAAGGTCTAATTGCTTTTAGACTAACAAATTAGGACTAAGAATTTCGTTTCATCATTTCGGGGAACCGTATGCAAAACTGAAATGCAAAAGTGAGAGCTCTATACTTTCTTCCAATTCCATGAAACAGATAGTATCTTCTTTTGCTAAAGAAAGTCAAAACCATTAATAAAAGACAACTAACACACTACAAATTGCAGATTATTATAAATGAAAATAAAACAAACTGAGTTTTAGAGTAGAAATCCGCTGCAAGGAAGAAAACGGGCACATCCACGGCCACGAACAGAAGGTAACCTGGTTAAAGCAAAAGTCGCGATTTTTTGGTGAAATGGAAATGGCAACAACAAGTAGAACGAGAGACATAAGTGCGTCAAATCGTAAAAGGTCATATAACTTGATTAATAGACCCAAGTTTGAAACTTATCACTTGGGCTTGATACGTCAAGCTCTTACTACAGGTTGCTTTTGCATCGTTATATAACAGATCTTGGTGATGTTTACTCAAACCACCAAGACCAATGTTATGTCTCTCGGATGCTTGTGCCTACTCGGTTAAATATATCGTTTATGCACTCTTTGATTATATAGAAACAGGATAGCATCATACTCAAACACAGACTAGCTACTTGGTGAAATCAAGTGAGGAAGAAGATACTATCATACTATTTGCACCTTGACTTTTGAGTTTTTTTTTTTAGCTCACCTGATTCTTCTCGAAACACAATGTGGCATCTCGAGTCACGTTCCAGCCTCGACTACTTCAGTTGTTCCAAAGACTTATCTGGAATAGAAATTAGCGGTTTAGTACACACAATACATATAATCGCAATATTTCGACTGAGATTAATGGTAAATCAACTATACCTTAAAAAGCTAAGGTGGCCAGAGATTACATTGCCTTCTCAGTATCTCTCTTCTTCCAGAACCAACCAATTACGATAACATAAAACGTAACCTCAGATGTAACTTCTCTCTCAGACATTTCGTCAAACACTTCCAAAGCATCACTCAGCTTCAATTCCTAATTACTATCCAGATAATCTTTGATACTGTAACTATACATACGCATCCTTTTAACATGCTTTCTCGAAACAGCTTCTTCTTCCTCGAACTTGCATTCTTGCAATCGATTCAGCTCGACGGCGGCGGATTGAGCCTAACCCATAAATTTACGGGTGTTTAGGTTGTGAATTTCAATTTATAGGACAATGAACCGATTTAAATTTCGTCCGGTTTACTACGGTTCAAGTTAGATGACCAATTTTTTTTAAAAAATAGTAATTAACCCCAACCCTAAACCTGAACCTCCCAATAAAATTAAAATTAAGAGGGACACTTTGGTCAATACAGCCTCATAACCCTCCTCGCAATAGAGTGGCCCTGACTATTTGCTCTAGCCGCCGTCTTCTCCCACCCACTACCACCGCCTCCGGCGCCTCCACCACCGCCGCCTGTTCTCCAACTCGGTGTTAGATAAAACCTCAACATTCCGTTCTCTCCATCCTTAGACGAATGCCTCCAACTCTTATTCCTCGACGATCCTCCGCCGGAGCTCCGCCAGCTCACATTGCTGTTACTCCTCCTCATCTTCGGTCCTCCTCCTTCGCTCCTCAGCTCCGGCCACGATTCCGATAATGATCTCTCCACCATCCCGGTGCTGTTCGATCTGCTATATCTATCCTCTTCCTCGTCTTTGGTAACAACACCTTTCCTGTATATAAATCCTAACATGCTCCATTTTCCCCATCGTCTCGATTTCTTCTCACTATTCTGATTCACTTTGTTTTCCGCTGCTTCCATGTAGTGGTCGTCTTTCAGCGTTCTCGAATTTGAGTCTGCTGTTATCGCCGGAGAAACCTTGGAATTTGACACCGATTTGACCTCGTCCGTCTCCGTCGAAACGTTTATTTTGATTGAATTGGATCTGTCGAGGCTCTTCCGCCTCCGCGACGGAGGTTCCGTGTAGTAGTCTCGGGTTTGAGTCGAGCCGCCTGGGATGATAATAATCGGGTCGGATTCACCGTTAATCGGATTAGTTGACGGAGACGACGCATCTTTCGCCGGAATATGCATATCTGGCCGACGCATTGGCGCGTTTTCTACGACTGATAGCAACGATGGCGGCGGAGGAACCCTAGCCGCCGGTGGTAAGGCCGTTCTGCCGATTAAGTGCCCATCCCACGACGCTCTTGGCTCGTCTAACGAGTAACGAGAATCGTCTATTGAAATCCGACCAATATCAACGGAAAATCTGCCGGCGTCAAGCGAGAATCTAGGGTCGGTGTCGCTGGATCGCCGGCCGAATCCGTACTCAGCGATTTCAGACTGTGTATCTCTAAACTGACTCCTAGTAGTCGCCTTCTCCACCGGCAACTGTGGCCGTCCTCCTCCGCCGCCACCGCTCCTCGGCTTCTTCATCTTCTGCTTTTGCCTCCATTTCTGAAGCTTCTTGCTGAAAACAGAGGCCGCGGAAAATAAACTCCCGGCGAAATCTCTGACGGAGGGCTTCTTTGTCTGTGGATAGAGATCCATGTAATCTTTCATTGGCTTCAATTCCGCTTCGCTGATTACTTTCTCTTCTACCTCAACAATCTCGCCGCTTTTTTCCTCTGTAATTTCGCAGGAATCATTTACTATCTCAGAGTGACCTCTATTTTCTTCTTCCTTCTCTGTTTCGGCTGCTTCTTCTTCACTCACCTCAAAGACCGCCTCACTCACGCTAGACTTCCTAACTTCGTCCTCAATCTTACCGCCGGAGACTACGGTGGCAGCTTCTTTGATTGGAATGTTTCTATGCTCGTCACGAAGCCTGACGTCACAAGACCGACGCTGCGGCTCAAACCCACTGGAGAATCCCTCGTTGTTCTTCGCCGAAAAAGATTTCGTACGTCGGAGCTCCGGGAAGAAACCGGGTCGGACCCGGCCGTTTGCGTTGTTGTTGTTGTTGTTGTTGTTACTACTAGAGGGTTTGAAGAGGGCTTTCAACGCGGCGGCGGAAATGGCGGGCGGTTTCCGGGAATACGACGGCGGTGGAGCGCCGTTGTCATCTAAGACGGAGAGACGTTCACAGAGACAGGAAGGGCAGAAACCGGAGAAGCGCTCATCTGGATGTAGATCGCATGATGTCGATAAGCGGTGCGGTTGAGTCGGCGGAGCTAGCTCGTCGGCGACGGCGGAAGTTTGGTCGGTGGAGGGATTCATTAGAAGAGACGATGCGTGATCCTCCTTTTCTTCTCTGCTCACATCATCACTGTCTCTCTGCTTAATTTCTTGTTAGAGAGAAAAAGTGTTGTTTATGTCTGAAGCCTTCGTCTGTTACCAACGGACATTGAAAGGGAAAGGAGATGAAGAGAAAACAAAACTTTTTTTAATTATTTTCTATACAAAATCCAAAATCTTATTTAAATAAAATATCGAATGAAATTAGAATGGGCCTGGAAAATGGATTTTGCAGGTGTCAGATAAAATCTGCACACATCGTTTTTAGTTGAAAAAGAAGGTTCAGTCTGAATTCTGAACATTTTTAGTATAAGAATAATGGTGTTATTTCATCAGTCTCGCTGCCAATCTAAATTTGTATCCTTTTTTAAGATAATAAAGTCTATTTTAGCAACAAAACAGGATTAATAAACAAGAGGCTTTGACATTTTTCGTTTTTTTTTTCCGAGCGTGACATTTTCTCGTTTTTTGGTCCATTAATGCGTACATCTTTTTGTGATAACCTTTTTCATTAAACTTTCAAAATAATTAGATCGGATGTTCACACATGACACAATGCCTAGTAATGTCTAAGCTATCTAGTTGATTTTTTCTTGTCAAAAATTTATTTTCACGAGCAAATATTTACCAACCCGTGTAGTACTTTCCAACATATTTGGTTATTCAATATTTTAGAACACTAGCAAAACAAAAGATGGTAATAGAACATTGATATTTTAAAAGGTGATAACATGTGTAATGAATAAAACATCTAAACTTAACGCATAACAGGTTTCAAAAAAAAAAAAAAAAAACTTAACGCATAACTGGCAGATGGACAAAATAAATAAAGCGAGACGAAGACTAAATGGTCACTGCAAAACATGCAATAGTTTATCGAAGTCCTTTTATTACATTCTGTGATCACAACGATTTAGATAGAGGTGTATTTATTAGTTAATCTATATAGGCCGTGAATTCATTGTGTTGGTGCGAAATTAACTTCTTTTTTTTTGAGCTAGGCTTAACTTTGTTAGGTTGGTACTGTATAAACACCATGGCATGGAGCCATGGATCATGAATAGTTTATATGCATGCAGTCGTTGGGACGATATTATTCATTTTGCAGCAAGTACTTGCAATTAACTGTAGTTTACAGTTGAAAGAAATAAATATCATATTGACCCTTCTACGATATTGTCTTATGTTGAGTGATGCGGCAAAAGTGGATTTTTAGGCTTGTCCAGACTCCGAAACACACATGCGCTAGATATTAGTGAGTATGATGAATGTTTTTCCCTGATAAATGAGTTTCTATTAGTTTTTGTATGTCGGCTAAGCTAAAGAATGTATATATACGAATTTCAGATTCAAGTATTGTATTTCGACTTTTATTTCTTTTATTTTTGGTATCGTCTATTTGTTTTATATTACCAAAGTACGATTGTTTCATCCGTTTAACATTTTTGGTTTCGCTACAAATAATATAAGGTTATAGAAATATATCATATATCTAGCTGGTTTATAAAAGAATAGTAAACTATCAAATTTATTATATTCAAATAATAAGTAAAGATATGCATTAGATTATCAAAGATTCCAACCTAAAGAGCCAAGAAAAAGCAGAAAAAAGCGGGCAAAGCAACTCCACGCCATCAATCTTGTTTGTTGTTTTGTCTTTCTCTTCTCTTTTTCTTTATTTAATTTATTATTGTTTTTTTACTCTTTTTTTCCTCCACTCTCCGTTTAAAAGTTTGTGTCATTTTGTTCGTTTCTCTATTTTCACAATTTTTCCAAGAAATGTTATTTTCTCAAATGGAAAAAAAAAACTCTCTATATAGATATCGAATCTTTCCGCTAATAACAGAAAACTTTAGAAAACTAAAGAAGTTTACGTTTATATCGTGTGTTTAATTAGTTTTGTGTATGTAAGTCAATAAATGAATATTATGGACACAAGACTCTTTCAAGTTTCGTCGTGTGTGATGGAATAAATACTGTATCTATATGCATGCCAAACAAAACAAAAATTTCATACTGTTTGTGTAACAAAAGGGAACTTTAATGGGAAAGGATATATATAAAAACTGTACAGTTACATTGAACTTAAAGAAGACCCAAAAAATACATTGTGAAATAAGTTACAATGAAACTATATCTCGATATTTACAGACATACATAATAGAGATTAGAGATTGTACATGATAAGTATAACATTATTTTCTTCTTACAGTAGTTTAACGTTATATTAGAGTATTTGGGCGGTCATAATGATTTGTGATTAATCATGGAAATCACGATAATGATTAGCTTTTTACATTTTGAAATTTATATGGGGATCGCAATAATTAATAAAACATGGGAAAAAGTTTCTTTGGATCTCAGTTTTCTCCAAGTCTCATAATGAGAAATAATGGTGTCTTGCAAATATTGCTATGTATCATTATGGTTCATAATTGGAGAATCCATTTGAAACAAAATTTCCCATAGCCATACACTCTCCAGTTGCCGATTAGAATAGGGTAAGAACTGCAAACATTATTTTGAAAATTAATTCAGAATACCAAAGTAGACTATAACCATTATAACTAAATGCAATACATTAAATATATACATAAACCTGTAATAAATGCTGGTTGAAATTTACAGTGTTGCTGAACAGTGAATACACATGTCGAGTGAAAGAATCCCAAACAAGAGTCTGTGAGAACTGTTGTTATGTCTTATGTGAGAAAAAGACACAAAGATGACAGTTTTCTTGGCTTTTACTATTATCAGGAACTTTTGTTACCTTTTTCTTTTACCTCATCTAGATTTTTTACACATATACATTTGGGATATGACACGTGCAGATGATTGAACATTTTACATTCTAGGTATAATAATGATTTTCTATATCGTGGGTGGAAAAACAAACTACTAGGATGGCTGTTTCTACAAAATGGCAAAAGCTTTCTTTTACTCTTGAGGTTGAAAAGAAGAATAGAAAAACTCCGAAATTGCACAAAAAGAAAAGAAAAAAAGAAACAATCCGAACAAGAAACAAAGTCCAGTCTACTACTAACTACTTTCTTCACCACCGTCAATAACCTGAATAAAACCGGTTTAGTATTCATAAACCGGATTCTTACGGGCTCGAGCGAAATTATCGGCTCCCAAGCATATGCTTTCATGAGCTTCTGGGCTCTGTCCAAGGCGACTGAGGAGGATAAGATCCTTGGAAATTCAGATTCATCATTTGTGGAGGCGGATGCCCGAGCAGTGAGCCTTGTTCTGTCCCGCTGCCTTCTGCTCTATTCATCTCATAAGGTGCACCGCTATAGAATTGTGGAGACGATCCATCCGTTGTTGGATAAGCAGACGGAAAACCAAACTGCTGTGGTAAACCCGGGTTTTGGTTCATGGGTATGGGCAGGCTGGGCGGTTGCATGAGATTCATAGGCGGGTAGTCTGGGAACCGGATTCCTGGTTTAGGACTGGCGGTCTCGAATCCGGGAGGACGAGAGTTATCGCTCTCTGCAGGGTAATTCTGGACCTGACCAAATCCAGACTGTGGTTTTGACATAGATGCTGACCTGTGTAGCAACGGTTGTTGTTCACGGGATTGTTGCTGCTGGGATCTTAAGGGACCTCGCAATGTGGATTCCGAAGCTGAAGATTGCTGCTTTGTGCTCTGAACATCTGACTCGTTATCGTCTTCTTTCTCTGCATCGGCTTGTAATAGGCTGCCGTGGAGTTGATGGACATGCGCTTCAAAGTCAGGTTTCTTCAGGAAAGACCTGAGACAATGAGGAGCTGCACAGATGAAGATTCCTTCCATCATCTTGATTGTCTGAATCTTCTGAATCCGTTCATCACATCTGTCCATTATAACACACACACACACACACACACACACACAGACACAAGAGATAATAAGATTTCAGTTTGATCTCTAGATGGATCTCAATGGAATACCAACCAATCTAAAAAATCTACAAAAGCTTCTAATGATAAACTTCCATATCTCTAAAATTCCCAAATACGAAACACAAGCATACTTTAAACTATGGCTCCTCCAACATTTCTTGATTAAAGCACATATTCTACAGTATCCGGAATATCTTCAGACAATAATACCATCAAGCAAGTCGAGTCAATTTGGTTCATAAGGTTCAGACTGCACTGCAGAAAAACAAAAGTAGCCAAATTTGAAGCATAGATAAAGATCCTTACAGATAGCAAATGGAATCACTACGAGCACATTCGAGGCAAAACGCATGATCACAAGGAATCTGCAAATAAAGAAGAAAACAAGCTCCAATCACATAGTAGAAACCCTAGCCGCTTAAAGTCAAAATAAATTAGGGACGCAAACTTTACCAGACGACCATAGATGGCGATCGGAAAATCGCAACGGACGCAGAAGTGAACTCTCTCGCCTAACTGGCGGCGAGAACGGCGACCGACGGGCTTGATTACGGTGGTGGGGGTAACGGAACCGATCCCTTTCGCGACAGGAAGATCGGCGAGGACGAGGTGGTCGGGACAAGCTACCGTCACTGTCTCCGTCGGAGAAGGTCTCGCTCCATTACCTGTCTCCGTCGGCGAATCCCTCCTTAGCCGAATTTGAAGCATTGTCACTGTAATTCAAAAGGGAACGGAAAATACATGAATTAAACCCTAAGAAACATGACCCCAACAAATAATACGCCAACAAGAGGATTAAAATCTGCTCATTACACCGATGAACCCTAATAATGAATTTCAGTTGGAGATAAATATTCGAGATCTCTCTGCTTCAGTTCTTCTCAAGGATTCCGTCGGAGGCGAAAATGGCGGAGCAATTGTTTTTATTTTTATTTTGCCGGGCCAACGGAAGCGGAAGCGGAAGCGGAAGCGGTATATTAAAGTACTAAGGAAACCTCTCGCCAAGAGAGAGGGTTTTCAGTCTGAACCAGACTTCACTTGCTTCAGCATTACAACAAATTTTGAACAAGTGTAATAGGAACCTGATTGAATGCGTTTATTATAAACTGTTTGCTCTGAAAATTAGGTAATGGTTAGTGAAGTCGAATCAAACCCTTTTGAGGGGACACATTGAACATTATCAAAGTATATAAACCAAATGTCAAGTCACAAGCATGGAAATGAAAATCCCGGAAGAAACAACGATCAACTTAGGATTGACATTCATTGGCCTTTGTGTTTCTTCAAGTTTCTACCTTTGGCTTCTTTGAAGTTGGATTTCACTGTGTCGGTCTTTTCTTTGGCCATTGCAATCAAATCACAAAAGATGTGTATATGTTTTTACAGAATAGAAAACCTATTTCCATACAGATGAAAGAATTTTAGAGTAGACAAGAGATTTGTAACTCACCAAAGAAGACTTAAAACTATTGACAAAGCAATGCAAGTTTATAAAATTCATAATCCTTCTGATAAACATCAATCTGAGTTCAACGAAAATTTAAAAGTCTACATAGAACACAAAAAGAGGTAAGTTATAGCAAAAGTTGGGAAATGTGGATTTCGAAAAGTCTAAGAACATCAAAATCAGCAATAAGTAGCAAGACTCTTGATTCTCAGTGGATCGCTGCTTCTTCAAGTCTCTTCCTTTGGCTTCTTCGCAATCAAGTTCCACAAAGCAGAGTTCAAAGCAGAGGATGTCCCCAAGGAAGCACTCAACAAACTCATTGCCTGATTTTAAAGCCAGTTCCCATCAAAGTTTGTTAACAAAGGGAGTAAAAATCAATCTGTATCAGAGAAAAGAAATGATACCTCTGCTTTACGGATTCTGATCACTTGAACATCCAGATCATCTGCCTTAACCTGCAACTTCTTTAGAAAGCAGATAGATGTGCTCAAGGAACTCTTCGGTGTCATTAGCAGATCATCTGAAACTGTAAACATTGTTCCTCTCTTCACAAACCCACTACCATTCTCTGACTGATCTCTGCCATGAGATTTTGGATCAATCAAATCCACAGCAACTAGTCTGTCTTTTCGATACAGAAGAGTTCGATCAGGATCTGTAGTCAAACTGTAGTCAGGTTGTCTAGGATTGGAATTCCTGTAACGGTAGAATAGGTGGGTCTTCAAAGCGGCAAAATATTGATTGATTAATTGATTCAATAAAACCCAAAATATTGGAACTGTAATTAGTCAATCAATCTGAGCATTTCCATGAATACAAGTAAAGAATTTTTTTTTTTTTTAGACGACAAAAGTAAAGATAACATATAGGGAACGAGTATGTTCTTACGTAAATTCAAAAAAAGAAGCACACTAATTTCCATACAAGCCAATGGAATTAAATCATTTTTTGACAAAGCTTCGCACAAACATATATGGGCACATGAAACATTTAGCACAAAAGCGTGATTAAAGATGAAGACTTTTCAAGAGTTTTTAAATGATTCCAAGGGGTTAACCGTATGTTTATGTAGATAAGATTAATCATATGATTAATCATATGTTAAAATTTAAAAACCGTATGGTTACAAAGTTTTAGAATTTGTCACGCATGCTAATAAACCCCTTCTCGCAATAACGGCGTCGTTTGCGTGAGCTCTGCTCTCGTCCTCTTCAGAGAGTTTCCAATTTTTCATTTATTCTCTCGATTGAATTTCGTCTCTCTCATCTCTGTCTACCCTAATACACTGTATAATGGTTGCTCACAGCTTAATACCTTCCGGTATATCCCGCGCGAAGCACCCTTGCAATCGATTTAAACCTCTCAAAACCTTGACAACATCATCATCATCATCATCTCTAGCTCCCGAATTGGAACCCTCGTCTTCTTCGGGGTCAGGTTTGGTTTCGGATTCGGATTCGTTTTTGGTGGAGAAAATCTGTTTCAGTTTGAAGCAAGGTAATTGTAATGCGGGCTCTTTGCGAAATCACCTGATTCGATTAAACCCTTTAGCCGTCGTTGAGGTTTTGTACCGTTTCCGCAATGATTTAAGTCTAGGTCAGAGGTTCGTGGATCAATTAGGTTCCAATTTCCCGAATTTCAAGCATACATCTTTGTCTTTAAGCGCAATGATCCATATCCTGGTGAGGTGTGGAAGATTATCGGATGCACAGGGTTGTCTTCTTAGGATGATTAGGAGAAGTGGCGTTTCAAGGGAAGAGGTTGTGAATTCCTTGGTCTCAACGTTTAATAACTGTGGTTCGAATGATTCGGTTTTCGATTTGTTGATTAGGACTTATGTGCAGGCTAGAAAACTAAGAGAAGCACACGAGGCTTTTAAGTTGCTGCGAAGCAAAGGCTACGTGGTTTCTATCGATGCGTGTAACGCTCTCATCGGGAGCTTGGTGAGGATCGGGTGGGTAGAATTGGCTTGGGGAGTTTATCAGGAGATTTCTCGGAGTGGCATCGGCATTAATGTTTACACTCTCAATATCATGGTCAATGCATTGTGCAAAGATGATAAAATGGATAAAGTCGGAACCTTTTTGTCCGAAGTGCAAGAGAAGGGAGTTTATCCGGATAACGTAACATATAACACATTGATTAGCGCATACTCTAGTAAAGGTCTCATGGACGAGGCATTTGAGCTGATGAATGCTATGCCGAGCAAAGGGTTTAGTCCTGGTGTTTATACTTACAACACTGTGATTAATGGACTGTGCAAGAATGGGAAGTACGAGAGAGCCAAGGAAATTTTCGCTGAGATGTTAAAATCCGGCTTGAGTCCTGACTCCACCACCTACAGATCATTGCTGATGGAGGCTTGTAAGAAAGGAGATGCGGTCGAAACAGAAAAGATTTTCAGTGATATGAGATCTAGGGATGTTGTTCCGGATTTGGTTTGCTTTAGCTCGATAATGAGTCTTTTCGCTCGGAGTGGAAATCTCGACAAGGCGTTGGTGTATTTTAACAGTGTCAAAGACGCGGGACTGATTCCTGACAATGTGATCTACACAATTCTGATCCAAGGGTATTGTAGAAAAGGTATGATCTCTGAAGCTATGGATATGAGGAATGAAATGCTTCGGCAGGGTTGCGCTATGGATGTTGTTACCTACAATACCATTTTGCACGGCTTATGCAAACGGAAAATGCTGGGGGAAGCGGATAAGCTGTTCAAAGAAATGACGGAGAGGGGATTATTTCCAGACTCTTACACTCTAACCATACTTATTGATGGACACTGTAAGCTCGGAAATCTGCAAAACGCAATGGAGCTTTTTAAAAAGATGAAGGAAAAGAGAATCAAACTCGATGTTGTGACGTACAACACACTGCTAGATGGGTTTGGTAAAGTAGGCGATATCGACACAGCAAAAGAGGTATGGGCAGACATGGTGTCAAGAGAGATACATCCCACTCCAATATCTTACAGCATTCTGGTTAACGCGTTGTGCAGTAAAGGCCATCTTTCTGAGGCATTTCGAGTTTGGGATGAAATGATCAGTAAAAGTATGAAGCCAACGGTGATGATTTGTAACTCCATGATAAAGGGATATTGCCGCTCTGGTAATGCCTCGGATGGAGAAAGCTTTTTGGACAAGATGATCTCGGAAGGTTTTGTGCCGGATATCATCAGTTACAACACATTGATATATGGTTTCGTTAAAGAAGAAAACATGAGCAAAGCTTTTGGTGTGGTAAGGAAGATGGAGGAGAAGCAAGGAGGATTAGTGGCTGATGTCTTTACATACAACTCGATCTTACATGGGTTTTGTAGACAGAATCGGATGAAAGAAGCTGAGGTCGTATTGAGGAAGATGATCGAGAGAGGTCTAGAGCCTGATAGGTCAACGTATACTTCTCTGATCAATGGATTTGTTTCTCAAGATAACTTAACCGAGGCGTTTCGGTTTCACGATGAGATGTTGCAGAGGGGATTCTCTCCTGATGATCAATTCTGATTCAGTATCTTTGCAATCTTGTGCTGATTTTACTGCTGCAAATTTTTGCAACTCACGTTTTATACAAAATGGGTCCCTGTACTTTATAACTTATTCATATTAAACCCCAGATTCTTGTAATTCATATTTAGTCCTTCTCTGTATAAATTTCATCTTTTGCAAAATAAAAAAGAAAATGCGGAACGGCTAAAACGACTTGTCGGTGATGACGGTGGGGGAGGAGAAGAGAATAAGAAGACTAGAGCACTCCGTACGGTACGCGTTTGTTCTATGATCATACGTGAGTTGTATATCAAACAAATATTTTCTCCGTACCATTGACCAATAAATATATCTTGCACATTTATTTTCACTGGAAAAAATATTAGATTTAAAATACTTTTGAGATATCGTGTGTATTAGAAAGAAAAGAGAAAAAATGTTTTATTTTTTAAAACAAATTATAGATATTTATCTATCATATATCTAGAATAGGAATATACACCCGCATTATGCCCGCCTAATTATACGTTATACCTATTATTATCTGTGTATGAAAATATACTCACAAATAAATTTTAAAGCCTATTGAAACAAATTCTTGAATAGGATAAGATTTTTCGGATATATACAACTCATGATCCTACCTATACAACATGAGTAATATGGAGAATATATATATATATATATATATATACATTTACTTGTCTGAGAGAGATAATAGATACACATAGGAAATTGGAAACGAATTGATAATAATCGGAATGATGGGGTATATAGAATTTGCCAACGCTAACAACAACCATCCCAACTAGGAACCTTAGTTTTCAGGTTCTAGGTGAGAGATATTGACTTCCCAAAAGAGAAAAATAACCTAAATATATAATAAAGTGGAGAGACTTCCACCAAAATGTCGCGTGGCCCCCCAACCTCTGTCTATCATTCGCACTATATAATATTATTAATATACTCCCTAGTCCCTAGTTATACAGTCGACAAATGCATACATAACTCACACGTGTATGCGTCACTGTGTGTGTGGGTCTCATTGTTTCTGCAGGAGAATGGATCAATTTTGAGTCTACAAGTCCATTTTTTTAAAAGCGTGTCTGTCGACCAAAGGTCCAATGGTTCTAGAGAGTCTGGTTCGTTTTGTTATCATTGGAAGTTTAAAAAAAAAACATTCCGTTGGAAAATGGTTTATGAAATAAGATTAAGAGAGTTGGTTGAGTGAACGTGGCAAATTGCGGTTCGTAGTGTAATATGGTCTAGACAAAAACATGATGTTAGAATGTGGATTCTTTCACTATTAATAATTCGTAATTTGGCTGATTGGATACTAATTTTCAAAAGTCCATCATATAATGCTACATTACCGGTTGATGGATATATTATTATAGTTTTCCACGGCAGTAAAATTGTCTTAAATTAGCTTCTTAGTTTCTTATACGTACATATAACGTTTTTCTATTAGCTCTAGAAGTTATTTGCATCAAATTGTCTGTCTAGAATATTGAGAATACACGTAAAGATCTCTGTGACATTAGATGATAATTGTATAACCGGAAGTTTTCATATCAAACTCTGTTAAATATCAACTGTGTTTTATGTGTCGACTGTTTAGATGTTCTGAATCCATTTTTCATTAAGGACTCCTATGATTATGAAGCTTATGGTCGGCCATCAAATCAATGAGTTTGATATTCTATCTTTTTTAAAAAAATATTCTCTCTATTAAAATTTACTATTATAGCTTTAGTCTTCAAGTTCAAAATGTATTTGTTTATAAATAAAATACTAAGTTTAAATATAAAGATTAAACAAAATTACGCAATTTATTTTACAATAATAAATTATGAATATTTGACTCATCATCTTTCTATATCATTGATCAGATTTTTTTACACTATTTGTGATCGATTACAAACATAAATTATCGGTTTGAAACTCAGCAGTTTATAATTGGATCCAAGTATCCAACCCTGGATTAATAATACATTTATAATCGGTTTTAGATAGTTACATATATATACCTCGCATATTATTATATATTAGTTCCATCTCAATATCACAATTCTAAGAAAAGTAAACATGACATAGTCAATGGAACAATAATGATTCGAGCTCAGAATTAAACAAAAAATCTGTAATTAAAACCAACCTTGAGAGGATTAATAATAACAATTGTGTTAATTAACATTGATAGACTCTAACGGTTGCTAAACTAAGTGGATTAGAGTATATTAAATAAAGAGTTAAACCCAAAGTCTCAGACGTGTCTATGTGTTATCGAATCAAATTAACTACCACGTCGCTTATTTTCTCTTGGTTAAAAAAAAAACAAAGCTTATTAGATCGTGAGTCGACAAAAAAAAAACTTAGATTGTGAAACTAAATTTTGAAAAATCAGTGAGTGTGACCCAAAAAAATATGTCCAACTTCAAAAAAGAATGTCAATTACATCAGAGTTGGATTCTTCTGTATTATGCGAAAGAGTTTTTCAGAGTTCAGCTTGTCCTATATTCCGAGGATTCTAAATGTTCGGGCGGATAATCTCGCAAAAGTAGCTCGAGTAAGGAGAGTTATCTTTTCCCAAATCAATCATAACGAGTCGGTCAATGGTAATCTTCGGAACACACTTATGATAATCCAAATGTGATTGTAATAGTTGGGTAGAGAAAAAAAAAAAAACAGAATGTCAATTATACGAAGTAAACAACAAAAATCAACTTTGAAGTGAAAATGATATTAAAATTGCCCAAACAAATGATTTTTAAGTTAAAATATTTAGCTTCGATTTGATTAATGTCAACAAATCGACTCTTGCTTATCCAAGTGTGGGTTTTAAACTCAATCTCACTTAAAACCAAAAAAAAAAAATAGAACACAAGAAAAAACTCACCCTCATTTTATAAATCTTCAAACATCAAAAATTCAAAATAAAACATGGATTGAGCATACATTACCATGTTAAGAAAAATATCTTCTAAAAACGGAAGTAATCATATGTTAATTGCATTTAGTTTTTCTAAAGTATTACTTGTATTTTATTCGGTATGGGTATCATATTAATCGAGAGATTTAAAGAAAACAAGAAAAGGACGTGGGAAGAGGACAAAATAATTTGGGAAATCGAGGAACGTTCGAATTATCATAAATGCCTTTTCACTCTTAAAACTACATAAAAAACTTACATAAACGCCATCATTGTTATTATAATAGTTTCACATGTAATTTACCATACTCTTTTGTAATTTTATATTCTGAAACCACCTTTTACCATATCTTCTGCATTTTTGTACCATTATAATCGATTAATTTGGCTTTTTTAGTTGTCAAAAAGAGAAATGGTTTCCTTACGGGTATATTAATACGATTAACAGTAATTTCTGTACCTCTTCACAAGTATATGGAAACGTATGTTTTTGTATACGATTCTGAAACCCTAACTATTAAATTATTAGCTACACGTAATCTCAAGCGTGCAGTGATTTCATTTTTCTACTTTGTTCTTACAAAGGATAAGATAAATGTGTGACAGGTTAACTAATTGTTGAGTAGAGTAACAAAATTTATTAATTTCTGAGTTTATTTTAAATTTCGTTTTTAGGATTTGAAGCTTTTAACATTAAGAAAATAAGGAAAATTGGCTGCATTATATGCACACTTGCTATCCCTATTAGTGTATAGTGTATAGTGTCATTAATGGAATTGGCCAGTCTCTACATAAATTAAATCTAGATAAAGAAAGTTGACAAAAAAAATATCCAATATGACGCATTAAAATCCGTACTTAATTTGGAACGATTGTGAGAGCTGTAGTTCTCGAATCCTTTACTCTTTTTCTTATTACAGAACGTAGACTACGCGTATAGTGTTGCTAGTTTTACAAAGTAAATGGTTAAACACGATTACGACAACTTTCGAAATTTTCTTTTATGTACAAAAAAATAATAGGTTAATATCTAGTTACGGTTTACTCAACTAGTCCAAAAAACAAGATGCAGATATTTAATAATTGTGGAGATTTCAGTTTAAATGAAAACTGATTGTTAGTTGACAAAAAGTTTTTTTTTTTTTTTGGCAAACAGTTGACAAAAGTTTAACATTAAATTTAGAGATAATTTTTTTCTCAAATTAACTATGCTTATTTTTCGACGACGTGCAAACAATTGACTTAGGCATATCTATTACCTTGCTTTCAATAATATCACGAAATATAAAACAGTATATACGACGCCGAACTTAATACTAACAAACAAATAATAAAATATGAAAATCTATTGGTTCTAAATTCTACGTGGCTGGTAGTTACTAGTTAGGCAAATGCAATGAATATAAACCAATATAAAATTGATGAAATTGATATTTTGATTTGAGATTTTCCCGATTAAAAATATATAGAGTATATCTCAAGATTTTTTTTTTAAAAAGAATCAAAAATCAAATAAGAGGATATTTATAAACTATGATTGAATACTTTCGAGACTTAAATATTTCTCAAGTTGTAAAATAAAAATTAAGTTCATAATCAGAAAATTATTTCAATTTCTAGATTAGAAATTCTGATTATTTCTTAGAAGGAAGTTTTGTAGGGTTCACTCATGATTAATAACGACCATTTTACATGTGAAATAAAGAAAAGTCTTAAATAACAAGAAGTACAGAAACAAAACGAGTTTTATTTTCGACAACATAAACGACTTTTTAACTTTCTTTTTCCTAAACAAAGCGCAAATACATACAGTTATATATATAGCCCCCACCATATTCTTATACACACAATCACACATACTGTATATATATTTGAGAAGGAAGAGAGAGAGGAAAATAGAAGTAGAGAGAGATTGTTTGTCTGCTCCGCCTGAGATCGCGCAGATATAAAAAGAAGAAGAAGAAGAAATACGTTTGAATGGAGAACCATTGACTCCTAAATCTCTCCTCCGATCGATTATTTTCTTTGTTTCCCGAGAGACTTTTCCATTCATTTAAAAAATTTGCCCGGAAAGTTTCTAAAATCCCCTGTTTCCGGCCACATGTCAGTCGGTGTGCCGGTGAATCCGTCGAGCAGCAGCCAATTACCGGCGGCGCCAACAACAACGACAAGACGGCGCGTGGCTGATTCTCAGGAAGATCATCATTGCCACGTCAGCACGGGAGGAGGAAACGCAGTCGTTTACGTCCCCGACGACGAAGAAGCGGCGGGGTGCAGCCTCTGCGGCGGAGGAATATCATCAGCGAGTGAGGCCCACCACCAAAACCACAATTACCTCGTCGGGTTTCTCTCTCTGCGCAAAATCAGGCTCGTGTGGATGCTCATGGCGGAGAACAAATCTCAATGGACGGCTGGGATCGCTCGGAACATGAAATCCGCCACGAACCTTGGCCGTTTGATTCTTACTTTATTGGGGATCCTCGTCGTCACTTTCTTCCTCATCGTCGCTCTCTCCGGCGCCGGTGGTGTCGAACGCCGGAGACACGAGGAGAAACACGAGTTCGTCGTTTCGATTCATCCCAGAAGTAACATTGAGAAGATCATTGAAGAAGAAGAATCTTCTCCCAATTCCGTTCAAGTCCTCCTTCCCCACACAAAACCGGTAAGCTCAATATCTCATATTTCCCATGAATAAGAATTTTTTTTTTTTTTTTTAAGAGTCAAAAGTTCTAATTTTTTCAGAAGATAATTATCTGTTTCCGCGTTCTGCTTTTCATGTTCTTAAAATCCTTTTTTTTTTCTGAGACAAACAAAAAAAAAAACATAAGACGGAGTATTTGGTTCTGATTCTGTTCTGTTTTGTTCATTCATTGCGACAAAAATTCTGAGCTGAATCTAATTAAACAATTTCATATTTTAAATTCCATATTTTCGTATTTAGAGGATTAGTTCTCGAAAATGGAAATTCGGTAAAGTTCTTTACTGAATATTTAATTGATTTTTTTCCCAAATAGAGGATAGTCATCGTCGTGGGTCTGTTCCATTCGTCTTTGAATTTTCCAGCGGTTGACTTCAATTAATTGATTAATCCAATATATATATACTCTTAACTAATCACACATCACAACAGCTTTGGAACATTCATTGTTGCGTTGGCCCGTTGGGCTTGTTCATTAGCCAATAACGCTGTCGTTTCGTTCTGTGAACTAATTTTCGCTTTGTTACATGATTCTTTTTTTTTTTTTTGTATACCAGATCCCAGAGATTTGGAACCAACCGGACACTGGCAACTATCAGAAATGCGTAGCTCGCCCTAAGAACCAAAGTAAGCTTCCTCATTTTCGGGTTTAACCGATTGAAAAAACCGAGAAGTTTCAGACCTAATAACCGGTTTTGGATTCGATTTATGGTTTAGGACCAATTAAGCAAACCAATGGTTACCTTCTTGTTCACTCCAACGGTGGTTTGAATCAGATGCGAACTGGTGTAAGTCTCCTCTTCATCTTCTTCTTTGAGTTTTCTGGCGAAGATTTTGTTCTCAGTTCCTCACTTCATTTGTTTCTTCACAGATATGCGATATGGTCGCAATCTCCAAAATCATGAACGCTACTCTTGTTCTTCCGTTTCTTGATCATTCATCTTTCTGGAGTGATCCAAGGTAACCATCACCACCAATTCCAACAGAATCATCATCATAAATATAACCATCTATCTAATAATAAGCTCTGTAATCATTATTTTTCCAGCACGTTTAAGGACATTTTTGACTGGAGACACTTCATCAAAGTACTAGCAGAAGATGTCGATATTGTCGAGTATTTACCGCAGGAATACGCTTCCATTAAGCCTCTTGAAAAGAATCCTGTTTCCTGGTCTAAGGTAACTCTCAAAATCAAAATTTTCATATGCTTCTATAATTTGTCCATTTTCTCTTTCTGTTATTTAGCGGTTTTAAACTAACTCTGCGGTGGCTTTGATTAATTGCGCGCAGGCGAGTTACTACAGAAACTCAATCTCAAAGTTACTGAAGAAGCATAAGGTGATTGTATTCAATCACACTGATTCCCGTCTAGCGAATAACAGCCCGCCTCCTTCGATCCAACGGCTTAGATGTCGCGCAAACTATGAAGCTCTTCGATACTCTGAAAATATAGAGAATCTAAGCAAAATTCTCTCTTCAAGACTTAGAGAAAACAACGAACCCTACCTTGCTCTTCACTTGCGGTACACGCTATGAATGTTACTCCCCTTCTCTCTCTCTCTCTGATGAATGTTTTCTGAGAATCATCGATTAATCCGAAATGTTTCTTATAGGTACGAGAAAGATATGTTGGCGTTTACCGGATGCAACCACAGTTTAACCAAGGAGGAATCAATTGATCTTGAGAAGATGAGGTATAGTATTCCACACTGGAAAGAGAAAGTTATCAATGGTACAGAACGACGCCTTCAAGGTAATTGCCCTATGACACCGCGTGAAGCTGCCGTGTTCCTCAAGGCAATGGGGTTTCCTTCGACAACGAAGATCTACATTGTTGCAGGAAAGATCTATGGTCAGAACAGCATGACTGCGTTCCAAGAAGAGTTCCCAAATGTTTTCTTTCACTCTACATTGGCCACCGAGGAAGAGCTTTCCACTATTAAACCTTACCAGAACAGATTAGCTGCTCTTGATTACAATTTAGCACTCGAAAGCGATGTTTTCGCTTATACTTACGATGGAAACATGGCTAAAGCGGTTCAGGGTCACCGGAGATTCGAAGGGTTTAGAAAAACGATTAATCCCGATAGGTATGGTTTTGTTTCTTGCGTGATGAAAAAAAAAAACTTTTTCTTTGACCGATTATTGTGCTTAAAAGACTGACATTTTATGGGTGTTTTCAGGCTAAGATTCGTGAAATTGATTGATCGGCTCGATGCGGGACTTATATCCTGGGAAGATTTTTCTTCGGAGGTTAAGAGAATACATAGGAAAAGATTAGGAGCTCCTTATCCGAGACGGCCAGGAAAGGCAGGCATGAGTCCAAAGTTGGAGGAGAACTTTTATGCAAACCCTCTTCCAGGTTGCCTGTGTGACACGTCTGAGGAACAAACAGGGCTGAACCGGTTTGAAAGACCAAGTTTACGAGCGCAATCTCTGAGATAACCAGAATTAGAGGGGTTCAAATTGGTGACTTATTAACGCGCGCACATACACACACGAGGAAATCACATAATTTTTGGGCTTTATTTATTTATTTATTTATGTAATTAGGGTTCATTGAAAAGATATTCTAATTATACTAGGAAATTAGAGAAATACAGAAAAAAATTGTGGACTCAGATACGAAATACGAATCATTACTCATACAAATAAAGATGTCAATCTAGAGAGATCAACCGGAACGATCCAAAAACCGCGAAAGAAATTATATACAGTATCTTACTAAAGGCTTAATCTATGAAAAACAGTATATATATATATATATTTTTTTAAAAAGTTCAATCTGACTCCGAAACTAAAACGGTACATCATAAAACCAAATAATCTGAACCAAAACTGAACTGAAATTTGGACTGAAACTACAAATATTTAAGTTCTCACTAACCGGGTTATAAAAGTGTAAGTTCTACTGACCAAAAAAAGCATTGAAGTTTCTAGTCTGCTGAATTTCTTCCCAAGACTTTGTTTCTTTTAGCAGACCCCTCTCCTTACTGAAATATATACATTGAGCACCGAGAGGTTTTAACTGTTTTAAGTTTTAAGTTTTAACTCACTGATTGGTTTTCAAGCAAGACTTTAAAAGTTAAATTCGAACTCTGTTTAAACCATAAAATCTACAAATTGAGGAAGGGGACCATTTAGACAATACACATTCCATTGTTACTCTCCTCTCACTTTCTTCTCAGTCAAGACATAGAAAAGACAGAGAAAGATGTCTGAAAGTGGCAACTGATTATAAATGCATTTTGTAGAATTCACGAGAAGCCCATTGCTTTCTTATTTTGGACAAACTCTTAATTCAATACACTCACGTCTTCTCTTGTCCTCAAATGAAATGGGAAAAGAAGAAAAAAGACAATTGCATTGAATTGATCAAGATTTCAAGATCTTAATTAATACATATTGTAAGATTCTACATGTGAAAACTCATCTCACCAAACCTGCAACTAACAAAAAAAACAAACAGAAGAAGAAGAAGGACAACACAAGAATTTACATTACAAACACACAGACAAATACAACATTCTAAAAACACCAAACTACTTCTTGCCTTCGTCATCAACAACATCTGCTTTTATCACAACCATATCCGATTTCTCATTAGCACATTCCTCAGGAACCACTGCCATTGACCGCCTATTACCGCATACTGTCCAAAGGTACAACGCTAACATCGCTCCTAAAGTTCCACAAACCGCACCCAAAACCAATGCACCAAGCATTCTCCAAATACATTTGCTTTTCCCTTTAACTTCCACCGTCTTCTCCTCCTCTTTCACAGTCTCGGAAACTGCGTTTGGATCAAGCGGCTGCGAGTGGATCCTCATCGAGGGATGTCTCAGTTTAAAGCTCCATGAATGGAGATAATGTGGCTTGGAAGAGTTTCCATTTGCGGAGATTAAACCCACCATGAATTTCCCATCTTTCCATAGCTTAGCCAAGTCTACTGCGTAAGAGACGAATGGATCGGTCGGCTTGGAGGCAGCAGATGGAGTCAAACGAACCTCTATTCTCTTTGAGCTCGCCTCGTAATCAATCCAACAATTCCATTTCGTCTCTCCATTGAAATGGCCACCAAACGATGATAAGTTTCTGATTTTAGCAGATTCGGGTCTACCAACTAATATCCCTACACGTTTTCCTCTCTTGGATATACCAAACTCAACAGCAACAATCTCGTGTTGCAATAAGAACCCTAGACCAGAGGAAGTGTTATCCTTTCTACCAAACAACCTAAGATCCAAAGCACTTGGAACCATTACAAAAGCCAGGACACTACCAATCTCTTTGGAGGACATCGAAAACGAGAAATTAGTCGAGAATGATCCCGAAAAGTTCCTCTCTTTACCTTGGAATAGTTTGATGGGTTTAATGTAAATGACTCGCCCTTGGCTTCGGCTCACTGAGCCAGTCAATTGAATCGATGAACCACCATTAACGAGCTTCGAGTCTCCAAACAGACCAACATTCTTGTCAAAGCCTGGAGATTTCACAAACCCACTAAACGAAATCGAGGAATTTCCATCTGCAGCAGCCATGGTTTCGTAAATCTTGAAGCATAAAACGAATAGAAAAGCTAGGGTTTTGAAAACCACCATAGCTGAAATTGGGATGGAGCTTGAGAAAGAAGCTCTTTTTTTTCTTTTTCTTGTTCTTCTTCTCCTTCTCCTTCTGAATGGAATTTCTAGGATTCGTGAATAAATTCCAGTTTTCAAGAGAGGTAAATTTAGATATTTTTTTCTTAAAAATATATATATATATATATTAGTGTCAAGTGTATGTGTGATTGTGTGTGGATTTTGGTGAAGAAAGGAAAAACAGACGCAAATTAGATAGAGCTAGATTTTAACCTGTCTGCACGAAAATATTTTATTTTTTATTTCTAATATAAGTTGCATTTATCTTTTTTTGTTTAGATATGATTTATTTTTGTTATTTATTTTTTTAAATCAAAAAATTGTTATCATATATTAATTTTAAACAGTAAATTTGTATATTAGTAGAATAAAAGTATGCGTTAGTTAAATATACATTGATCTAATGTTAATTATAAACTTTGATATTATGTGAATTTAGATTTACACATAAAAAATTATATATCTATGAATTTGCTAATCCATCCGTTTAGTTTTCTTAAATCATTTTTAATATCTTACATGTTTTGACAAACTAACCCGTATAAGACTATAATTATAATTGTAGAACCCTATAAATATATTTGGACCAATTGATTATGGAAAATATAATAAAATATTTATTTATTATTTGTGCTATTAAAAAAAAGTGTTAGTTTAATTATTTCAAATCATTTTAATATCTTATATGTTTTAATAAATTAACTTATGGACCTTAAATATATATATATATATATATATAACTTTAATCAGCTCGATCATATTATTGTATAATATTAATATTTATTAATCTCAAATATTTGATATTTTAGACTAATTGATTATGATAAAATACGATAAAATATTTATTTACTATACATTTTTATAAAAATATCATTAAAATTTAAAATTTTAAACTAAATCTCTCCTGTATTTAAGAAATTTTAAAGTATTAAAATTATTATCTAAATTTTCGTAATAAAATTTAATTATAATTTTTTGCATTTTTTGAATTTAAATTAAATTGAATATAAATTTTTGTAACTAAATTTAATTAAATTTCTAATAATTTGAAATTTAAATTAAAGATGATCTAGATTTTAGGAAATTTAAAAATATCTAAATTAATAACTAATTTTCAGAAATTAAATATAAAAATAAAATAAAATATTATAAAAAAATTTTAAAAATGTTTGGATGCAAGCACTAAATATGGTTATGTTTTAATAGAATAGATTTAAAGTCATCTTCTACGAGGAGGAACCTTGATTCGCTCTCTCTCTCTCACTCAGTGGTTGCTGAGTAAGGGAAACTCAATTAATGCTAGCTAGCTCTTTGTTCTTATACCCACTACTTTAATCTCCTCTCTTCCGTAGCCCCCATGTTCTAGATTGTGACATTTAGCCCCACTCATTCTATTTTATAATTTATCTTCACGATAATCTAATATCCAATTGATCGGGTAACGATATAGAACTTAACAAAAGCCAAATCGTATAAAATAATAATGAAGTCACATAAATTTACAATCCACATATTATCAATTAATACTTACGTTTACATCATTTTAGCATTAAAATCAAATAAGTGATGACATGGTGACAATGAATAAGAGGGAAATATGTTTTTAGGATAGTGGAGTAGGAAATAGAAATGTGGGGTTTGAGATGATAAAGGTAGAATTGTTGGCAAACAAAAAGATGGAATCTAAAAAAGGTCTTATATCTCTAACAAATGAGTTAATTAGTGGACAACCATTGGTTATGTTACCGAGTTTCTTTATTTCAAAGTGCGAAGAAAAGAAAGGTTCAAATTAAGAAGAATTAAAATAACATGCCCATAACAAATTGCTCGTGGCTTGTCCGTTTGAATGACAAAATGCACCCTTTACAAGGCAAGTACCTGTCTCCCAAACATCAGATTACGTCACTCGATTTTTTTTTTTTTTCCGATTTTATACGTCACTCGATTTTATTTGTTTACTTCTTGATAATCAAAAATTTCGAAACCGAATTCTGTACTAATTTTCGGTATATACAGGAGAGTTCTCTATCTATTTAAAGCGAAGCATATGATAATTAGAATTACAGTATAAAAAATCTCGAACCTTATTAATACGTTGAATCTTCAACTAAATATCCTACCATTAGTGCAACCTTCCCTTTTAAGGACAAAAAGAAGAATGGAGTGACTTCAACTCTAAGAACCTTCTCCTTTGGCAGCCTCTTGTCTCTCTTATTACTTATTGGTTTACCGAGCAATTGTGAGTTTTTTTTTTTAATATAGCGAGATTCGAGAATCACAAGGTTTTTATCTTTAAACTTTGGAGTTTGGAACTTGTAAGCAAATAGGAGTATATCATAGTCTTATTTATACTACCGATCTGCTTAACAATTATGCAATTCAGTACATTTAACTCTTTAACTTTTGATAGTTTATAAACGATTTCGAGAGAGGCTTACGTAAACTGTTTAAATATTATATTTTTATATAATCCTCTCCTAGCTCATTTATTTTGATAAAAATATTATTTTACTACTAATTACTGTAGCCTCAACTTAACTTTTTTCACGATTTTATTCTTATTTACAATGTCAATGCGTGTAGTCAGTAGTGTACAAAATGAGGCTAAACAAACCCGCGCATATTATTGAGACAAATTAAATGCTTTGTTTTGGAAAAAAGAATAGTCCAAAATAGCTATGTAAAAAAAACAAAGAACAGTCCAAAATAACTAAAGATTAGTTGCACAAAAAAGTAAGCATAATAATTATATAAGGAAGAAAAAAAAGAATAAAAAAACGAGATACTCAATACTCAAGATAAATAGGAATTAAATTGGCCAGCATTTACTTCAAAGACTGGACAAAAGTACTC